CAAATTTTAGGATAAATACCTCTCCTGCTACCCTTCAGGGCTCCCCTGAGGACTCCCACTTCCCCTGCAGCAAGGGCAGGAAGCTGTCTTCACAGCGGAAGGTACCATCTTGGCTGAAGCCAGGATGACAGCTCAAACCCCCTCTGCATTCGTGTCCATAAAAGAGATGAGAAGGCTTGCCTAGCTTGGGAGGTTGGATGTCAGTCCAGTGCATAAGCAGCCTTTTAAGTACCATATCACATGGAGGATGCTCACAATTAGCACCATGTCACGAGGGGAATGCTCACACTGCATCCTCTAGAGACACCTGGCCTGGAATTCCCACAAGGCAGGTGTGTGTGACCTTGAGCCAAGAAGCAGCAGAGCAATGGAGTCCTCCTCTACCTACGAGGACCCAAAGGAGCGAGTGACTCAAAGGAGGGGTAGTGTGAGTGGTCCCCTCACATTCCTGGTCATTGCCACCCAAGTACGGCTAAGAAGCCTCACCTACATTTTGTCCTGGGGTGGGGAGGACACTGTGAAAGGGACATTAGCTCAGCAGCAGATCTGTTTTCTCCTCCCTGAGGGCCCTGGTCCCTGAAAATCCCAGGTCCAGGGAGGGGGTCCTGATTTTCTGTCCCACCAGCTGGTTCTCTGCCCACAGTAATTTTTTTTTTTTTTGGGGGGGAACTCCTGGGCAAGCATGAGCCACAATCAACACCAGGCTCACACTGGGGATGGAAAACCCATGCAGCTGGTGCCACCAAGTGGCACAGTCAGCAACTGTCAGCGTGCTTAACACCAGCCAGCAGCACTGAGCTGTGTTGGCTGCAGCCAAAAGCAAGGCCTTTAAGATCATGCCTGACTCACTCTGTGGTCCTCCACAATGCTAAATCAGGTCAGTGAGCTTATTTATGTCACATAAATCAACAGAGCCAACTGGTGAGCTGCCTCAAGACTGTTTGTCTTGGGTTAGCGCTAAGCACAGACTGCAGGCAAAAACCCAGGCAGGTTTGGATGTCATGGACAGAGCCCAAGGAGCTTGACCTGAAAGGCTGTCCAGATCCACACCCACCAGGACAATTTGTGTTCAGCATGGGGGAGGGGAGCTGCATATGCCTATGAGAGATGACACAGCTCTAAACAGAGGCTCCTAAGGAACATACTGAGGTCCCTGAACCTTTAAAAATACTACCATGTAGATGCTCTTGCTGCTGGGGGTAGGATACTGGCTGTCCCAAGCATGGATCATCTTTCCCCATGCGGCCTTTTCAGGAAGATGATAGTCTATGGAGTCTTCCCTGGGCCTCTTATTTTTAATTTTTTAAAGTATTAACTTTTATTTGTTTGGTGTCTTGCCTACAATCATGCATGGTGCACAAATGCCAGAAGAGAGCGTTGGATCCCCGTGGAGTTACAGATGGTTGTGAGCTGCATCCAGCATCTTAGGGGACTGGCTGCATTGTCCCAGGAGTGCTAAGCAAGAAGTAAAGAACACTCCAGGTCTCTGGGGAAGGTTGTTGGTTCTGGAAAATCACTGAAAGCAGGCATTAAAAAAAAAAAAAAAAAAGTGGTGCTAGTACATGGCTTGGCAGTTAAAAGGACTTGCTGCTCTTCCAGAGGATGTGGGCTCCATTCACAGCACCCACATGGCTGTTTTGAGGGTAACTGGGGTCCACATGGCTGGTGTCCACCTACCCTGTGGAAAATACAGTCCACAGAGGGCACATGGCTCTGGTCATGTTTATCTCAGTGGTGGGATTTCTGGGTGGTCAGAGTCAGGATCTAGGATCAATATATGTGCTAGCAATCACTTCAGCTAACAATGACAGTGAGTTTACCTAAGTTCACGATGCCTGGGCTCCTGTGAGGTGGTGGGTCAGGATGCAGTTCAGAGACTTCAGACCACTTCTACTCACACTGTGCACAACTGAATGTGTACACACATATTCACACAAACACACACACACACACACACACACACACACACACAGCCAATATATGGGACATGCCTAGAGCAACACATGATCATCACATTTATCAAAATTACCAACATCTAGTTAAGGAAATATTTTATTAAACTTTAAAAACTATTTTGTGTGTTTCAGACAAGTGTCAATATAAAGCCCAAGCTATCTTTGAACTTGGATTTCTCCTGCCTCAGCCTCCTGACTCCTGGCAATTAAATCATGTGTCACCATACCTGGCACAGCATCTATGTTAATATTTGCTAATATTGATTAATAAATCTGGAAACACAGGGCAGGACAAACTATTCTTGTGATGTTCATGTATAATCACACTCACACAATCACACATGCATGCATGAACACACACACACACACACACACACACACACACACACAAAGTACCTACACACACATGCATATCTTCTTAGAAAGGCATGGCCAGTGGTCTAGAACCAGTTACCTGTGACATGGACTTCCTTCTCATTTAGTCCACACCACATGTGGCTGTACTGCAAGTTATCCGGGTGTTTTCTGACCATAAGCTTACACTCCACTGTTAGTATTCAGGCATCTGTACTAGCCTGCCCTTGGGGTTCTAACTCGATAGGCCCTCAGCTGCAGCCACTAAGAGCACCACCTGTGCACATTCCCTACATTCCCTTTTGAAACAGCTGACCTGAACAACCGGGAGCTCTTGGTCTCCAGACTGATAGCTGGTAATCTAGCATGGGACTGATCCAGACCCCAGGAACACGGGTGTCAGTGAGGAGACCTTGGAAATCCATGGGGCCTCCTGTAGTAGATCAGTACTTATCCCTAGCATAGGTGTGGACTTTGGGAGCCCATTCTACATAGGGGGATACTCCCTGAGCCAAGACCCACGGGGGTGGGCCTAGGCCCTATCCCAAAGGATATGACAGACCCCATGGAAGGCCTCACCCTCTCTGGGGAGCAGAAAGGTTATGTGACAGGTAGGGTTTTAGTTGGGGGTGATAAGGGAGGAGGGGAGGGAGAAGGAACTGGGATTGACATGTAAAACAGTCTTGTTTCTAATTCAAATAAAAAAAATGGGGGGAAAAAAGGGCCCTGCCTACCTCCCATCTTCCTCTTTGTCTCTCTGCTTCTCTCTTCTGCCACTCCTATCCCCGGAGGCCAGTCTCCCCTCCCCCCTTTTCCCATTTACTTCCCCCAATAAAAAAGGCCCCTCCACCCAAGCTCTGTCGAATGGTGACTTTCTCTTGGTGCCACTTTTTAAAATTACAACATTCGCACCACACAAAACAAACTATTTCTAGTTCTGCTGCTTGCTCCCTCTGGCCCCATGGAATGCAGAGTCCCAAGAAATACAACTGACATGCACAGAGACACATCTGAACAACTGCTTCTCCTATCTTTACTGGCAATTGATTCTGTGGTTGATTATATATTCGATGGGGTGGGGGTCTCATCCTGTGAAGCCCAGGATGAGCTCAAATGCATAATTATCCTGCCTCAGCCTCCCCAGTGTTGGGATTACAGCCCCCATGCTACCACCACAGCCTGCTGGATCTGTCTTTGCAGCACTGAAGGCTGTGTCTTTGTTCCTTAGTTCTGGACTCTCAACGGTAACAACTCTAGGCTGTACCTCTTTAAATGGCTTCTGAGGTTCAACCAACAGTCCCCGAGTTCGTGGCACAGATGTAACCACCGTGCTCACAGCACAGCGGCAGACCAAGCCACCTTCTTCACGTCTTTGAAAAGGGACTGGGTGAGGGAGGCTGCATACACAGAGAAACCAGAAATGCAGCCACACCAGAATGAACCATGTCAAAAACGCCCAGGAAGAACCTTGCCTGGAAGGTGACACGTTGGTAATAGAGTGGCATACTTACCACAGGGGAGAAAACTGTCCTAGTTAGCTCTCCTTTGGCTTATTTTCATTCTTATCTTGGTTCATACTACGCCATATTAAACAGAATGACTCCCCAAGGAATCTGCATGGCAGCCTCACTCCTAACCCCACCCCACCTCCACTGCACTAACAGGTCACAAACTTCCAGCTCGTTCTGCAGACAAGTGCCTGCTCACTAAGGACACGGTGCAGGCTAACCACACTGTGCCTTGAGGCAGGAATGCGCTGTTATGTGAGTATGTCCTGTGGGGATCACAGTGTAATTTAATCAGCACTTCAGCATGGTACAACTCCAGGGTGGGGAAATAATGAAGTCAGCACTTAGTGCTGGGAGTTCTCTGCTCAGCCTTGGGCGCAGCTGTGACCTAGAGCTGGGCTCAGCTCAGCACTGCCAGCCTACATGGTGTGACTGTCGGATGCAGGCACTGTGGGCCAGTGAGTAGCATCACTGACCTCCACTCATTATGGACGAGTGGTACCTTCCTCATTCCAGCTACGAGGAGACTAATCTCTATACAGTGCCAAGTGTCCCCTGAGGGTCAGGGGTGGGGGAGGGGCTGCCCCCATGTTACAGACCTACCGCCCTAAATCTGTCACAAAGATGGGTTTGTGAATGTGAGCTAATTGCTTTAGAGTGGTGAGTGTCACAGAAGGGAAAGCTAAACGGGAAGAGGCTTTGCTGAGTTTTAAGTACCAGGAGGGTAAGGGTGCAGGATGAAGTTTGAGGCTAGCCTGGGACAAAATCCAGGTCTCAAAGACAAAAGAGAGAGGAGGAAGGAGGAAAAGGAGGGGGGGAGGAGGAGAAAGGGAGTGAGGAAGAGAGAGGGAAGAAGGGAGAGGAGGAGGGAGGGAAAGGGAGAAAGGAAGGAAGGGAGAAAGGGAGAGAGAGGGGGAGAGAGAGAGAGAGAGAGAGAGAGAGAGAGAGAATTATTTCAGGTTTCATTCATTTCCAAATGTTCTGTAGTAACCCATGGAACAAAATAAATGGTCAAGCCGGGCGGTGGTGGCGCACGCCTTTAGTCCCAGCACTTGGGAGGCAGAGACAGGTGGATCTCTGTGAGTTTGAGACCAGCCTGGTCTACAAGAGCTAGTTCCAGGACAGCCTCCAAAGCCACAGAGAAACCCTGTCTCGAAAAACCAAATAAATAAATAAATAAATAGTCGATCAAAATGTGATTTACTAAACACAAATCAGTATCACTTGTGTATTTTATCATTTAACTTTCAGACACAGACTTAGGCAGGACCAGCAAGATGGCTCTGTGGGCCAAGGAACAGCCACCAAGACTTGAGTTCCATGCCAGAAACCACACGGTGGAAGGGTACACCAACCTCCAAGTTTTCCTCTGACCTAAACCGTGGCAGGCATGGGTCCCCCACACACAATAATTAAATGTGATTTAGTCTTTTAAAGGTTCATTTTTATTATATTTGTGTGTGTGTGTTTGTGGTGTCTGTGTGAATGTATGCCACATATTCAGGTCATCACATCCCAACAGTTGTGAGTCCCCCAACAAGGATGAATTGAACCCAGGTCCACCATAAGAGCAGTAAGTGCTCAACCACTGAGCCAATTTCCCCTGCCCCTTAAAAATCTTAAGTTAAAAAAAAAAAAAAATTCCTCTTTGCAAACCAGAACTCACTGTTAAGGATGAGCTGATACACACAGGCTCATGATTTCAAAACTAAAAAAATAAATAGCAAGTGAGAACAATAAATTCTTAACAAATAGCTTAAAAGATGACTGAGACATGGCTGACTGAGGGATGGATAGACAGACAGACAGATGCTTTCTACACCTGTGGAAAAGTGGCTGCAGGAGTTGAGTTGAGCAATGGTGCCCTGTAGTAGCAAGCTACCACCACGGACAGGACCAGATATCCTCAATAGTCACTAGCAGTGTCACGACTCATGCACACAAGCTTGCAGACAACAAACCCACCAGTGGTGTTTCCAATGGGGGAAGCACTCCATGTTTGTTTGCCTGGAAAGCCACAGAGGAAGCTGAAAATAGCTGGCAGTCATCTCTAGGCTGTGTGATTTTTAGGTAATTATTTTATCATTAGTGTCAGGTCCAAAAAAACAACTCAGGACAAATGACTATGATGCCTATTAGCATACCAACGCCAACACTGGCCTCCAGGCTTCCTCAATACTACTCCTACCTGTGTCTCTTCTCACCTAGCCCCCTAAACTTCTCTAGCTCCCCTCCCCCTCCCCCGGCTTCTCACACCTATATAAGCCTGCCATTTTGGTCATACTCTCCTGGCATCCTCACTCCTTTGTTTTCCTCTTGTGATCATGCTTAGTTTACTACTTTCTCTCCCTGCTCAGGACTCTCCAGATACTTCGGACTACATGCCCCCCCCCCATATCTTCATAGAAATATTCTCCATTCTCCTCAGCCATACCTTGGAGCAGTCATGTCCTCACTTTACAGTTAGATGGTTCCAAATTAGCTAATAAAAAAAAAAAAATCCCAGCCTAAGTTCCTAATTACTATGACAGATATCTTTTCATCCCAGTAACCCTGACTCCTCATCCTTGCCTACCCCCTCATGCTGCTCCTTGGGGCTACTGATACTGGCCTTTTAGTAAGCAGCATCTCTCACTCAAGAGGATACCTCAGGACAAACTCAGACAGGTAAACATGTGACCCCATTATCCAAATAGAAGGCCCAAGACTCAAAGAAGGTCACACTGTTAAGCAGCAATGGCTCCAGGCTCTAGTCACATTCCTGTCCTGACTGTGAGAAAGAGGCTACAGCTGGGCCCAGAATCCCATCGTGCCACTGTTCCCCACTCCACCCGAAAGGAAGCCATGAAGTCAGCTTTTGGGATGTATGAAGAACCCCACCATTGCCCTAGAAGTCCTCCTCTACTTCTACAAGAACCCAGAAGCCTACCCTTCCATCTTGGCTGTGGAGTAGTGTGGCACTGCTGGGAGACCACATTCTCCTCCTGCTCTCCATCTGAGAACTTCTCACTATTGTGTTTCTTCTCTTCATGGTTACAGGCATGGTATCCCAGCATTCTCAGCAAGAAGCCCAGTAAGTATACACTCAGAAGGCAGAGAAATGCCTGAGATCTACCTGCCCACATCCCCTCATATCTAATAACATTAAACATCTAAACTGACAACGTTCTCACTTCCTCTCTTCCCCCAAGCCCCCAATATGCTTCACTTGATTCTTGGACACAAAACCACAGCCTCTGATTCTAGGAACCCCATCAGGGAGCTCAAAACCAAGCCTGCAAGAGAGGTGAGCCGGGGTGGGGGCCTTCCCTGCCCAGAGCCACTCTTGTCTGAATGAAGTACTGGAAATTTCCAAAGTAGCCTGTGCACCGTCCAGAGCAGGCAGAGCAGCAGTATGGGGTATGTACTAGACATTGTTCATGCGTGCGTGCGTGCGTGCGTGCGTGCGTGCGTGCGTGCGTGCGTGCGTGCGTGCGTGCGTGTGTGTGTGTTCCCCTATTGAACACAAAACCCACATTTCAGGCAATTGAAAGTGACCTTTGAATTACTGACTTGGTATGGACGTAGACACCACTTTCTCCTGACTGGGATAACTGATCCATTCTCAGGGAGGATGCACTGGAGGACATGTGGGCAGCATTCGAGGTGAAGTTCTTGTGTGGGCTTTCATCTCTCTCTCTTGGAGGGGACTCAGGAGGGCAGGCCACCTCTTGCTGTTTCCTCATGCACTGAGTGAAACACAAGCAAACTGGAATCTTGATCACAACTGTTCAGGGACTATAAAAAACTCATGGACCATACACAACATGTCTTTCCAGTACCAAGTCAGAGAGAACTGGCAACAGGCCTAATGTTTACATTAAACTATTCACCTGAAACCTGTGTCACCACTCTTAAGTGGAAACGAACAGACCAACACCAATACTGACCAAAGATAGACTAGCATTAAAAGTCTGATGATAATCCCAGCACTTGGCAGGTTCAGAGAAAGCAGTCAGGAGTTCAAGGCCGGCATCAAACACATACGGAGTTGGATGCCAGCCTGAGATATGGGAGATCTTGCCTAAAAACAAAAACAAAAACAAAAACAAAAAATATAAAAAATAAACACCCCATTATCAGAAAGAATAAGCAAGCAAGAACATTCCAGAACATGCCAGAATGTGCAGGTACACCCAGTTCTTTTATGAACTTTGAGTCAACACATTGAGAAGTCCAGAGCAAAGAGAATGGAATCACTGGGCTCTAACACTAAAAATCAATTCCCTGGCCAGGGCCATGGCTCAGTAGCAGAAAGTCTGCCAGTGACACAGTCTGCCAGCACAGCAATATCAAACAAGTGAACAACTGCCCATCGGACTGCCCTCCCTTCTGTAGAGGCGACAGAATACAGTTCGGAGGTGAGCAGGAAGAGGAAGCAGGAGGGAGCTGAAGGACATTCCACCCTGAAGACAAATGTGGTTGGGAGACAAGGCTCCATGAAGCTGCTGAGAGAAAATCTCGAGACTCATGCCTGACACCAGAGCAACCTCAACCCAAATCACAAAACGCCGTGGCCCACTGTAAGGGTCAGTGAAGGGTCTGGGAGAGAAGTGCGTGTTAATAGGTGGCCAGAAAGCAAGACAGGATCGTCAAGGAGGAGGTGTCTTGCCCTGATGATTGAAACCCAAGTTTCAGATACTGGTGACAACAGCCCACCCCTGCAACACCGGACACTGATCTGCCTTTGGGACACTCTTCAGGTCGTGACTACCACATGTGTCTCTCACTGAGAGCAGATATGAAACTCTAGGTTGGAGTAAGAGCTTAACAAGCGTTTGCCGCTGGCACACGGCCAGGCTAGAAGACCAGTAAAGAATGACTGAGTGCTGCAAACCCCATTCACCAGTTCCCATCAGCTTCTGTGACAGGTGAGGGAAAGGCTCCCCTGCCCCAAGGCTGAGGGGTTTCAACAGGGACACAGTGACAGCAAATCCCACTGAGACAGTCACCTGGGGATTCAGGCCTCCCAACCACTATTTCAGGTATATGAACATACCAGGACCGCTCTACAAAAGCTCAGTGGGGACCAGCACCTCCCTGAGGCTCTACATACCCCTAGAGGTTGGGATATGGATACAAGGTTTGCCGGTCAGATGCTAAAACAACCAAAGAAGTCCGTACACCCACACTCCTGGAGACAAACTTGCATTTGGTGCAGGAGTGATGTCACTTGTGACAGTCAGGAACCAAGTACAGCAGTCACCTCCTTGAGTATATCCAACTGGACAGGCAAAGGTGTCCTGCACAAAACACAGTACCTTCCACTGCTCTGAGAAGTCTTGAAGTAACTACAACATAGCATCAAGCCCTGGCTCCCGACCAGCAGCCCAGGGCCCTGCAAGCTCTACAGAACAGCTCTGTCCATCTGCTCCAGATGGCGGCCAAGGAGCCAGAGACACTTGAAGCCACTAGACACTGTCAAGGCCAAGGATCCTTGTGTGGCTTTCTCTTTCATTATCTCATGTGGACCAGACTGGTTCTGGGTGTGCCTCTCCATCAGGTCTCATGCTGGGAAGAGTTCTGGTGGGCTCTCACCGTAGCAGTACTTGGCTATGGGGTCACGGTATGTGTTCTCATGCTGCACGCTCTGTTGGCAAAGGAAGACAGGAGAATGACAGAGAGGGTCAGCTGAAGTGACAGCCACACCCCCCCCACCCACTCCGACTCCAGCGTGCCTAGGGGTTTCAAGGAACTTTCTAGAATGAAGTAGGATTCTTAGCACTGAGTGCCACAGAAACAGACAGGACACTACTGTGCCATTTCTTCTTCTTTTGTCCACCAGGGAGCTTTTTGAGCAACCTGGCTGGGCATTTTAAGACTGCCTCTCAACCCTTCTGAAGTGGAACCTAGGGACAGGGCACAGCCAGCAGAGTGCTTGCCTTATACACATGAAGGCCTGGGTTTGATCCCCAGCACCTCATAGAAATGGGTGGAATGATCCACATTTGTGATTCCAGCATTGGAGCCGGGAAGAATAGAAGTTCAAGGTCATTCTCAGCAGTATGGTGAACTTGAGGCCAGCCTAGTTATGAGACTACAACAAGGGCAAGGTGAGATAGATCAGGGGCTAACACAGTACTTGCCCCCAAGCCCAAGGACCTCGGCTTGATCTCCCATGTGGGACCCACACGGGAGAATGAGAAGCAAACTCTCCAAGTTGTCCTCTGACCCCTTGCACTTGTGGTGGTAAACCCACACACATGCACAACAGTTAAGTACGAAAAGAGCAAACAGTCTGAAACAGATGGAGATGCAGTGTGATCAGCACCTGACCCTGTGGGCAGAGTTCTAGTCACTGGTGAGGAATCCTGCAAGGGCCTAGGGAGACAACACTTCAAATGACAGTCATGCATTAAGGGCCTGTGCACAAGCCAAGCAGAGCCTTCCCCAAGAGCCTCTCTGGCTGGGTACAGCAAGTGAAGCTGAGCCCAGACAACCCCCCACCCCACCCCACCCCGACACCCCTGGTGGTATATTTTCCAGCAATTTCTTGTCATAGGAGCAATTTGAGGTTTTGGCTGCTCTAGAGCTCATTAATTAGCCTCTAGCAAAGCTATGCACCTTATTAATTCCACTTAACAGACTCAAATGCCCAGTCTCTGGGCCGGTGAACCAAGCAGCCATTGAGAACTGTTTCTACTTGCACAGTAGGAAGTACCTTTGGGCTCTGTTGGCTATCGGAAGCTACTATAATATCAGTTCCACTTTTCAGCATTAGCTAGGAAGAGCAAGTGGATTCACCGAGCTCCTCATACCTCCCTTTACACCCATTACCTGGGAAGCTCTCCCATGGAGACCAGTGGAATTCTACATTCTCAGAGCTCCCTCTATCCTGACCCGGGATGTTCTCACAGTAAACTAGAGATGGAAAAGGGAATTACCAAGCACAAATCCAAAGCTTCCAGAGGGCCAGAGATGGACATGAGTCAGTTATCTCAGAGGAGTGGGCTTGTGTAAGAGACATCTTACAGAGAGTAGTGACAAGTGCCCAGCCACAAAGGCAGGGAACTCGAGCAGGAGAGAGAGTTCAGTAGGGAAAGGTGCTAGTGCCAAGGCTGATGCCCTGAGTTTGAGGCTCAGAACCCACACAGTGGGTATGTATGGAGAGAACCGACTCTCACAAGTTGTCCCCTGACCTGTACGCATGTGCCTCCCCAAGCCCAAAATAAATGTAAAAGGGAGATAAACAAAGGTCTGGGCAGAGGCCCTTCTGGGCATTCCATGGGTGGCAGGTGATGACGTGAAAACAGGGCATTTAAGGTTAGGTGATATGTGCTCCCCAAAAGCCTTACGAACCTCAGACTGATCCATGTGCCTTTCTCCTACCCCTGGGATCCTGAATCAAGTCATGGCTCTGTCCCAGGACCTCCTCTCAGTGAATAGCTCCTGGATTTCTCCTTCCCTCCCTCCCTCCCTCCCTCGCCTCTGCCTTGACTCATCAGCTACTGTTCACCAGCTTTGCCTCCCTCCCGCCGCCTCTAGCGAGGGCCAGCACCACTTCTGACCTGGGATGAAGTCCTGCACTTAGCCAAGCACAGTTCAAAGTGGTCTTCAACTGCCATGAAGAGGTTCTGGAAGGCCATAGCTGCCCGGTTGAGGAAGCGCTCCAGTAGAAGTTGCTATGGAAACAAGGTATTCAGGACTGGTAGTAACTGGAGGGAGAGAGGGAGCCAGTCTCTCATTCACCAGATACCTGGTTAGCAACAGCATAGTCCCCTCTGTGAAGGCACCAGACATGGGGGACCAGTTCCTCTCTCAGTGCATCTCTTGAGGACCACAGGAGATGCCTAGCTCTCCCTGTTAAAGGCCTGTAATGGTGGGGAGCTGGAGCCCCTACCTTGCTGGGCTGCAGACAGCAGGAGACACAGTGTTCATAGGCTTCACAGCAGCCGTTGGCCAGGCATCCATCACAGCAGTACTGCTTCGTGCTGGGGACAGTGACATCACAGCAGCCATTCGCCAGCAGGTCCTTCCTCTCACAGACATAGCCTGAAAGCCAGAGATGCACATCCTGAGAACCAGGACTGGCTTCGCCTGGGCAAACAATGCAAACAATGATGGGAGGTCAGGCTCCTCAGTCATCGCTAGATCCACATTATCACCATGCTCAACTGCTTTCCAGTCTATTGCATAAGTGTGAGCACATCACCATGCCAAGCCACGTCCATGTGGTTGGGTGCTAACATAAGCAATCAATCTTTCACCTGGGCCTCTTTTTAAAAGTCTAAGACAGGGCTGGAAAAGATGGCTCAGTAGTTAAGAGCACTGGCTGCTCTTCCAGAAGTCCTGAGTTCAATTCCCAGCAACCATATGATGGCTCATAACCATCTGATACCCTCTTCTGGCATAAAGGTACATATGCAGATAGAGCACTCATACACATAAATAAATCTTTAAAAATAAATAATTAAAAAGTCTAAGACAGAAACAGCACAGCACCCATTCATAAAAAGTATGCACTGTGCACATTTAAAAAGCAAGTACACAGCTTTTGATTGCTTTTACACACCTGCTGTTATTGTGGTCACTTGAAGGGACTGTTAAACTAGGAAGCCACAGTCCACCTTCACAACTCTGCTTCTGGTATTTGTACACAAGCATGGGGTGGGGGGGATACAGCCACCCCCTAGAACTGGGGATGAAGTTCTCAAATTCTGGAGGGAGAGAAAAACCTAACTTGCTCCACAACCGAGAAATACCATCACACAGATATGCAGGTCCAGTGTCAGCCAGGCCTCCTCACTGGAGCTGCTTCACTACTCAGAACTTCTAGGCAGATAGTTCCCTGCACCCTTTGGAACAGGACAGAAAAATCTAAGTGAAAGTCCATGAGGGCCACCACCCAACCCCAGATAGCTCCCAGTGACCATTCAAGCCTGAAAGTATATACATACATGGGCCTTCAGGTGTAGGCAGGGACCTCAGGTGTGTGCAGGGGTTCTCGGGTATGTGTATGGGCCCTTAGGTGTGGGCAGGGGCCCCCTGGTGTGTGCAGGGGCCCTCAGGCATACACATGGGCCCTCAGATGTGTGCAGGGGCCCTCTGGTGTGTTTGCTCTTGCCCTCAGGTATTCAAGTGGGTCCTCAGGTATGCACGTGGGCCCTCGGGTGTGTTCAGGGCCTGGCAGGTGTGCGGCAGCTGTTCCCAGCATTAGCACGTCTGAGTGCCCCAGCTCTGTCCTCAGAGAACAAGGCTGGTGGAGGATAACTTGTTTTCATAACTGCTCCAGAAAACAAGGTCTGTGTAGGAGCGGGTGGTGCTGGCAGAACACTGACACTAGAGGGGACACTAGAGGGCCTTCACTCAACACTTGGGAGACCAAGAGAGACCGATTCCCATCACCTGGGAGCTGGTGGCTTCTGTTTTGTTTCTTTTACTATGTCTCCTGAGTGAAGAGATAAGCACTCTGATGTCCTAGCTTCCTTCCCAGCTGCCCCACTCATGCTGTTGACAAGGGTTCTAAGTGGAACTCCCAGGGAGTCCAAATGCTCCCCAGGATTCTACCCCAGATGATAACAATAAAGCAACTCTGTATCATGGAGATGGGCAATACCCTGTACCCCGATGCAACCTGCTTATACCACCTGCCCTTTCCTTTGCCAAGCTGGAAGTTAACACCAGAGGCCCCTTTCTTCCCACTGCCAACTCTCAGCACTCGGCCCTGAACCCTGTGGTATTCACCTCCTGATGATCATGTCTAAAGTATGAGGAGAGGGAGCTCACCAGGCCTCTCACCCTGTATCATAAATCATGAAAAAAAATTACCTTTTACTTTTTGAAGAGTTATTTTTATTTTATGTGAGTGCAGATTCCCACAGAGGCCAGAAGAAGGGTGTTGGATCCCTGGGAGCTGCAATCACAGGCAGTTAGTGAGCTGCCTGCCTTACATGGATGCTGGGAATCAAACCCAGTCCGGTCCTCTTGCAAAAGCAATCATTGCTCTTGACCAATGACCCATCTCTCCAAGTCCTTCTTTATTTTTAGTTGAAAAAAAAAAAAAAAAAAACCCTATAAGAACCATACGGGGCATTGTGATGTTTCAATACACACATGCCCTGTGTAGTTCAGATCAGCTCTTCAGATATTATTTCCTATCAAGTCCCATGAGACCAGGCCAGCAAATGTGTTGGTCTTGCCTAGAAAATTAACTTCCAGCTTTTGAGAAGTTTGTGACTCTAATTGGCTATCTTGTTTAACAGCGCTGTTACCCTAGCGACACGGTGGCATCTCGTTGCTAAACAGCATCAACAGTTGCAAGGATTTTTTGTTGTTGCTGTTGTTCTTGTTTTTCTTAAACCACGGTTCTCATATTTGTAAAGGCAAAATAAAACCTGCAGGCCCTGTGGGATTTTTATGGGTTGAGAAGTTAAGTATTGGATTTTTTTTTTTTTTTAACTAAAGGAGTCTGTAAGTCTTTGTCTGATCTAAATTAACCAGAAGAAAATTACTGTTTTTGTAGCTACAGTACAAGAAAACGACAAACTGCCATCTGATACTAGAATGTCCTGTTTTCTGAGTCTATAGAAACAAGCCCTAGCCTCCAAGCCAGCATCCCCACCCAGTTTGCCTGTCAGCTAACTGAATCTTCTTGGTGAAGTAAAAGCCCTGTGTTCAATTTCCCCTTTCCTATAAGGATATTTATAGGCCAGCAAGAAGACTCTGACAGTAAAGGTGCTTGCTAACAAGCTGATGACCTGAGTTTAATCCCTGGGATCCACATGGTGAAAGGAGAAAAACAATCCAACAATTAGCCTATGACCACCACATACACCACGTGGCGTACACACACACAAAAACAAACAAACAAACAAACAAACAAACAAAAAAAAAACAAAACAAAAAACCTAGAGAAACAAGACGAGGAACCCCTGTGCCTGTGTCTGGTAGGAAGTGGCCTAAGTCTGAGGCCAACGCTGGAGCAGTAGGCAGAGGGAGAGAACTGCTAGGCATTTGGCTCTTCAGCCAAGCTTCCCAGATTCTGCAGGGAGCCTGAGGTAGAGAAGCCTGAGGTATGGAAGACAGACATGGGCAGAAGGGGCAAAAGCATCGTGAGGGAAGGCTACCCAGAGTCCCAGGGCCTTGAGTGCAAGAGAGGGAGGCCGTACCCAGCTCGTCGGTGATGAGGTGTTTCCCTTGAACAGAGTTCCGGCACTGGTTGCTGGGCCGGCTGCTGTTGCCCAGGTTAAACTGGACCTTCCACGGAATGGGCTGTTCACGGTCTTGAATCTGGAGAAGGTTTCGATCTCTCACCGCCCTCTCTTCCTGCAATGAGACGACAGGGGCAAGAGGAAGAAGGTTCAAGGCACTTTGCCTGCCAACTCACTTGCCCTGCTGGAGTCTACACCCCTGCCCCAACCTCACCCCAACGCTTCTGGCACGGGCACCGCACCATTTGAGCAAAGCCACAAAACAAGCCAGCAGGAAAATGTGGCAAGCTACAGCTCTCCTCCCCAATGGACCACAGTGAAGTGTGAAGCCCCAGAAGCAGACAAAGGAGTCTATGAAATTCTGAAGAAAACTTTTCCCTCTGCAGGCAAGTTAAGTTTTTAAACACTAAAATGCACACACCACAGAACAGAACATGAAGCCGGAACACTTAGAACCAGTCTGATCACCTTAGACTGTCACCTGACACCTCTAGACCACGAGGCCTCAGCCATGACAACGTGAACAGAGGGGATGACTTTAAGGGCAAGATGAAGCCTGAGAACCTGAAAAGGTCTCCCTTTGTGTGAAAAATCACAGAGCAGCCATCCTTACACCAGTTTCTAGATGCCATTCTAACTACACAGCCCTTTGCCTAGTCAAGCAAGAGGAGAGTGGCCCTGGGGTGAGAGCCTGAATCTTTCTCTTAGACAAGAGCCACAGCATTAAACTAGGAGAGACGGAGCCCAGCTGCTGGAATCAAGCCAAGCACAAGGCAGCCACCTTTGGAAGCTCCTAGCCATGAGTGTATAAAAAAACAGCTATAAAGGACTCTCCCATTGGCCTGTTCTGGGTCTTAAGACAGAGCTTCCTATAGTTCAGGCTTGCCTGGAACTCACAGGAATCCTTCTGCCTCAGCCTCCTCCTAAGTGCTGGGATTATAGGTATGAACCACCATGACTTGTTGGGTTTGGAGGTCTTAAGACAGCATCTCCCTATGCAGCCCTGATTGGCTTTAGGGTCCTCCTATCTCAGCCTCCAGGTGCTCCAGCCCTCTTTCTGGTCCCGAGAGAGTTTTGAAAGATAGGAGGGGGGCACACTTGTATGTTAAGTGAGGAGACAGTACACCTCAAGTGAGAGAAGTAAAAACACTTCAATAAAAGGACAGGAAGAAACCAGACCTGTATGTCACAGTGTCCCTTCTGCTGGTCACCCCTTCCTATGCCCGTGCCATGCAAAGCTGCAAAGCTGCAGTGAACAAGTCTTTGCTGGTAACCAGTTTAAAAGAGGGCGAGGTGGCTCTCTGTATTCACCTACACTTTATATAATGCCCATGTGGTGTTTGAAAGAGAATGGCCCCCAAAGGCTCACATATGTGAATACTTGGTCCCCAGTTGGTGAAACTGTTTGGGAAAGGTTAGGAGGTATGGCCTTGCTGGAGGAGGTGTGTCACTGGGGACGGGGCTCCTAGGTTTCAAAAGCCCAAGTTAGCTCTCTGCCTTGTGGTGGTAGATGTGAGCTCTCAGCTACTGCCCCAGCACCATGCCTGCCTACCTGCCTGCCGCCATGCTCCCTGCTGTGACAGTCATGGACTCTAACCCTCTGAAACTGCAGGCCCCAAACAAACTCTTTTATAAGTTGCCTTGATCACAATGTATAACCACAGCAATAAAAAAAAAAAAAGTACCACAAACAACATAAATGGGTGCTGGGGGCTGAAGAGATAGTTGAGAGGTTAAGAGCACTGGCTGCTTTTCCAGAGGTCCTGAGTTCAACTCCCAGCAACCACATGGTGGCTCACAAACATCTGTAATGAGATCTGGTGCCCTCTTCTGTCGTGTAGGCTTACATGTAGGCAGAACACTGTATACATAATAAATATATCTTTTAAAAAAAAAAACTTAAGTGGGCACCAATCCACATAGGTAGCTACTTTCCAGCAGAAAAGGTTAATGTGGTTTCAAAGAATTCATCAGGGAGCCCAGCCCTATGAAGAGCTGTGCCACCTAAGTACAAGGAGAACCTTAGCTCTCACCTCAGGACAGATGACCCTAGAGTTGCCCCCACCCTGACATTCCCTATCCCACTCTGTGCCAGAGTATCATACATCCTAAATCACTGTCTGAAGTCATCTGCCTACCCTCCTTCACAGTCCCACAGCAGATGGCAGGCATCCAGGGAGTAGACTTCAGTGACAGCTCTACCACCGCCCCTGTGTACTGTGCTGTGCCCAGGTCACCTGGCGCGGCTCACCATCCCCAGCCCTCTCCCCTGATGGCATCCTCTCCTGCACTCCCATCTCTAACAATTTAAATTATCCCCTAAAGCATTAATTAGGAAGAAAACCAAAGAAAAGAGGCATCCAAGGATCCAAGGCAACTGGATCAGCAGCTGTCTGGGCAAAGACTGCTATACAAGCTTGAGATGTCTCACGGATGCAGAGTCGAGGAGCCCAAGGGACGTCTGTGTGGCACAAGCCTCCTCTCCATCTGTGATAAACACCACCAGGGTGTGTTCCTCTTACAGAAGAGAGGTAGAGCCCAGACCGGGTGAAACAAGCTGGGCACTCAGATGCAGGGCGGCCCTCAGCCAAGCCAGAAATCATGTTCAGGACAGTACTGACCCACAAAGGCATGGCAGGCAGGGGGGGCTGTGTGAGAACAGTCCAAGCCACTGAGAGCCCACAGTGTGAGTTTGTGGCTACTGATAGGAAATTAAACATAATTCTGAAAATATATTTTAAATCAAAAACTTATTAACGAACTCATGACATATTAGCAATTGGTTTTTCTTTTGTTTTTGAGTTAAAGATGTTTTTTTTAAAAAAATATAAGCTGGGTGCGGTGTGGCACACAACTTTGATCCCAGCACTTGGAAGGCAGAGATAGGTGAATCTCTGTGAGCTTGAGGCCAGTGGGGTCTACCTAGTGAGTTCCAGGACAGCCAGGGCTACATAGTGAGATGATACCCCCCACAACACACACACACACACACACACACACACACACACACACACACACACGCCACACACACACACACACCAGGCCAGAGAGCTGCTGCTGGCCACTGTGTGGACTGAAGCCAGGACAGGAGTCTACCTGTCACAAAGTCTATGTGCAAATGGAAGGGGAGAGGCTGTGACAATTTTGCCCATGGTTGATACTGTACCATTCCTGACACCAAGTTCTATACCAAAACTTGACAAATGTCCTTCTCATAAGTTTGTTACAGTGTGACCACTGGAAAGCAGCCACGAGGATCCTTGTAAAGCCATGCAGAGTGCTCAACTTCGGGCCCAGCAGTTCACTCCTAGGCCTGTGCTAGCAAGCAATAAAAACATATCCACACAAAAACCCACAAAGTGGATGTTCTTTGCCAAAAGATGGAAGCCCAATACCCGTCAGTGATGAGTGGGCTGATGTGACTGACAGCTATCTACAGGGGAACAGTGGGTCATGAGATAACACAGGTGAGTCTAAGAACATCACAGCACTCACATGGATATCACATGTGTATCCGATCCCATTTTTTGTAAAGATTTTATTTATTATATATACAATGTTCTGCCTGCATGTACACCTGCAGGCTGGAAGAGGGCACCAGATCTCATTATAGATGGTTGTGAGCTACCATCAGGTTGCTGGGAATTGAACTAAGACTTGCTGGAAGAGCAGTTAGTGCTTTTAACCTCTGAGCCACCTCTCCAGCCCCACGATCCCATTTTTATGAAATGCCCAGGGTGGGGACAAGAGAAATGTCTCAATGGCTCAGGGGTAAAAGCACTTGTCACACAAGTCTGATGATAAGTCTTTCATTCCTAGACCCAGTGGGCCACTGTGATGGCTTAGCGAGTAAGGGGGCTTGATGAGTGAGGGGGCTTGCCTCCAAGCCTGACAACCTGAGTTCAATCCCTAGGGACCCACGTGACTAGAAGGAAGAACCAACTCCAAAAAGCTGTCCTGACTGCCACATGAGCAGTGTGGGTTATGTACACTCCTGCCTTCCCCCAACACCACACACACACTCACACAAAAATAAATAAAAATGCAAAACAAAAAAAATTTTTTAACAGGAAGTAGGTTAGAGATTGTTTAGAGCTGAGAGGGAGGGGAAAGTCAATGACAGTCCCCTAAATTGTACTATGGCAATGGATGCCTCACCGTGACCTTACTAAAACCACTAGGCTGCATACTCAGGTGAACCGCCAGTTCAGACGGTGAACTGTGTCTTAATGGGCACATTGGGCTCTGAGCACAGACTGTAGGACTCCCCCATGTACTGCCAGAGAGTCATGTCCTGCTCTATGAACAGATCTTCACAGAGCTGCCAAATGGTGGCACGCTTCTGTCCTATTGTACCCCCAAAACTCACAATTGTTAACATCATGTATAATGGAAGTCAACAAGCCCTAGGGAGGAAACACAGTCTTTGAAAATCTGATTTTTCACTTGGAAGCCTGTGTTTTATCTCTGACAGTAGAGAATGTCAGAATGCCTCTGTGAGGGGGCAGGCTCTCCTCATTCAAGCAAAAGTCTAATGAACAACCATTTCACCAGTCATTCTTCTAGATGACAATGGGGGGTGGGGTGGGGGTGGCTAGTTTAGTTTGTAACTCAGCCAGACTTCAGTAGGCAGAAGGCAGCATGGGCTGCCCAGCTCCAGCCTCAGCACAGGGCAGACAGAAGCTTAAAATTAGTCATTTCCCCTGCTTCCTTCCCAGTGAACCAGCTCCTGTACCTGCCCAAACAGTGGGAAAGAATATGCTCTAGGGCAGTGGTTCTCAACCTTCTAAGGCTGCAACCCCTTAATACAGTTCTTCCTGTCGTGGTGACCCCAACCATAAAATTCCTTTTGTTGCTACTTCATAACTGTAATTTTGCTACTGTTATGAATTGTAATATAAATATCTAGGTTTCCACCATATAAACAAACTGAAAAAGAAAAACCACATGATCATCTCACTAGATGCTGAAAAAGCCTTTGACAAAATCCAACATCCCTTCATGATAAAGATCTTGGAGAGAACAGGAATAACAGGAACATATCTAAACATGAT